TTTTTTTTTTTTTTTTTTGAATGGCTGGCTTGATTTGCATTCTGATGATTCGGAGACTAATGAATCGAAGAACCTATAAAGCCGGTTGCTATTTTTTGCCCCATGCAGGGGCAGGTCTTTGGATGTGTGGACTCTTTTCATATGCTGACCTGATGATTTCTTGCAGGCTTTTTTTGTAGAATCTCCTCCCGTGTGTGTTCAGCTCCTTCGCGTTCTGCAGAGTGCTGCTTTTTTGGAGGACTCTGAGAAGTCAGTCTTTTTTTGTTTTGTTTGTTCTCTTTTGGTTTTGGAGCTTCATAGGCCAACCTGTCCTAGAGACACTGGAGGACATCTGAGAAACTTCAGTACCTTAAAGCAGTTATAGGAATATAAAAATGCTTTGTTTCTTAACCACATATCAAAATTTGTTTCTAGTGTCCTCTTTCTGCGTCAGTAATACCTTGAAGCGTGTAAGATTATTGTTGTGTATTAAAAAGATATGGACTTTAGGTCTCTATCGATTTCCCTTTGAAAATTTCCTTTAAAAAAAACAAACAAACAAACAAACAACTGAATCCTTGTACTGACTCCTCAAAGTAACTTTTCTGTAATCTAATATAAGTTTCAAATTTAAATATAAAGAATGTTTTAAGAATTCAAACTCATTGTGTTTATTTGCAACACTAATGTAATACTACTAATTTCAATAAACTTTATTTTATACATGTGCCTAGTGTGATTTAGATTTGCATTCAGGAAGTTGACATATTTTTTAATTCTTTCTTTGTATGACCTCATAGTATTTGAGAGACTGTTTGTACAGATTTTTAACTGAGAATATTTGTGCTTTTAGGATTCACTTGCCACACCACATAACCATTGAAGTTAACTGTAAAAATGGTGAAAACTTAAGTATTAGGGAAATGTGTGTGTGTGTATATATATATATATATATATACACGCTTGACGTTCTTATTTGCATATTTGGTGTGTCAGTGTCAATGATTGGACGAAGACAGCGAGCGACCTATTTATGTAAATACTTCAGCTTTGCGCATCCTCATGTTTTTGCCGACCCTATTATCGACTATTCCTGAATGGACATTTCGTACTATTAAGGTAAAGTTATTGATGTCACCATTTTTCCCTTTAATGCTGGAAACTACTGTTTATACAACACGCGGATTTGTGACTGTCCAAAGGTTAAGCACGTGAATATGAGGCACGCTTTTGGGCCTCTGTTGCTAAGCATCTAGCCGCAACATTCTAACACAGAATCGTTTCACACTGCAGATTTGGCACGGCAGTGCTGGGTTAACGCTTTCATAACCGCGGGAAAAAGCGGTGGGCTTCTAAACTGCAAGTGTAAACCGTTTCTCTACCAGGGGTTAAAAGCGGGGTTTAGAACGACTAAGACCCGGGGATAAGCGAAATCCTATAATATCTGTTCTCACGGCTGACCAGACGACGGCGCCATAAGACTCAAGTGATTCTCGAATGTTGATCTCCTGCCCGGTGAAGAAAAAGGTCTCGTTGCCAAGGGAATAGAAGACACTGGGCTCCCACTGCATTGCGCCTGTTCAGTACCTCTTTCTGCATGTCTTTACCGTTAAGATTCTCTGAAAAAAGCACCAGTAACATGTGTCATTGCAATTCAAGCACTGTATTTGCTGATTTGAACACCTACATGCACAATCCAACTAAATACACTGGGGACGGCGCCATAAGACTCAAGTGATTCTCGAATGTTGATCTCCTGCCCGGTGAAGAAAAAGGTCTCGTTGCCAAGGGAATAGAAGACACTGGGCTCCCACTGCATTGCGCCTGTTCAGTACCTCTTTCTGCATGTCTTTACCGTTCAGATTCTCTGAAAAAAGCACCAGTAACATGTGTCATTGCAATTCAAGCACTGTATTTGCTGATTTGAACACCTACATGCACAATCCAACTAAATACACTGGGATAAAAAGTTTCACACTGCATTAAAATTCTGTGATTATAAGATAAAATAAAGCACAAAAACTGAATAAAATACTAATAATAACAACAATAATAATAATAATAATGTTTTATTTATATAGCAGCTTTCAAGAACCCAAGGACACTTTACATAAAGTTGATAGATAATATGAACAACAGATAGAGTCAATGCACAGAAATGTAAATGTTCACGAGTCCAAACACACTCTCATGGCAATTTGTAACTATTAAATGTTTTGTTGAATTGGTGGCTAAATCGTATGAATTTGTGTGATCTCATTTGTATATTTTTGTACAATCTGCTTACGCCCCATGTACAGTTAGGGGGTGGGACTTCATGCTTATGTTTCTTTCTAAAAATCGTACATCTCCATACCAATCACATCATATGATTCATACTAAATAGCCTACTTGTAAATGTTTTCTCATAAGATCAGATTGTAAGTTGCAAGTCTTTGAGTGTGTAGGATCCAAATGTAATTTTTAACCACTAGATGGCGGTGTGGAATGGAGGAGTTGGTGTATGTCATATGACATTTAAACCCTCATGGTTGTGTGTGTGGAGGGAGTAACAGTTGGCGGGAATACATGGTTCTTACCATAGCCTAAGATCTATTGAACCATGAATCCACGTGTTTATTTGTAAGCTGCATTTCTTTCATTAAATGAACAAAGCAAGAAATGGCTTGTTGCATGGACAATGACTTTATTTCCAACTTATGAGTAAAGAACGTCTTACCACCTGTTCCTGGGTGGTTAAGGAAGCCACCACAGTCTCAAATGTTTTGTCATGTGGGCAAGTCTCGGGTACACAAATCCTGTTTGGTAGTAATTTTTTCTGTATTTTTATCTAAAAAAGTAAAATAGGTTTCAATAGTTTTACTATACCATAATGTAAATTTAAAAAAATGAAAATATGTTGCATAATAGGTGCATTTTTATTTACTGTTTTTTGGAGCCCACTGTCATGTTGCTCCCATATCTCAATTTTCTACTTATTTACCTTCTTCTGTGTTGTTTGGTGGTGGTTTGAAAGGGTCAGGCTGCTTCACGATTCCTTTTTTCTGCACTGGCCTTCCTTGTGTCTCCATTATGGAATAAAGTCCAATGTCTTCTCACTCAGTAAAGCTATCATATCAGAAGATTTAAATGTTTAATTCTCAATAAAACCATTCTCTTAAAACATCTTCTCACATGCATTTTCCCCAGTAGTTATTGAATTAAAGCAGCACACAAAAGCAAGCAAAATTCCATGCAGAATTAATTTGAATTTAAACTAGTTTCAGCAACAAACAGCAAAGAAAATGAAATTTTAGAAACTCAAAAATATAGAAACACGGAAACAGACCTGATGCTTTGCATTTTTTTTGTTTGTTAGAATTGTTCATTTTTATCTTAGAAGTAAGGCATTTGTTGTTGGATTTCTGAGAAACATGTAAACACTGTGGGTCTGTAGTACTATCTATGGGAATTTAATAATACACTTGAAGTGTATATTCTTGATTCTCAATTTTTTTTATTACCGTTTTAAATGTAAAAGTCTGTTTGGTGATGCTAGTAGCACAAAAATGGCACACTTTACCTTTAAAACCTCTTGCACTAAAGTTCATTTGTAACATTATGACTGTCCCAGGGTCCACCGCTGGCTTCACAACAAATGTGTGTGTCAAACCATGTGGCTCTTTCTTTATCCCATAGATGATGCATTGAAACACGGGAACCCAGGCATTCCTGGCCAGATGATGGGATGAAAGACGGCCTGCATGGTAGGCTCATGATGATGATAGCTATTAGCTTCCCAGCGCCTGGCTAAAGCCTTTGTGAAGCTTTAGTGAAAAGCTCTGCGAGGATATAACATTGAGTGACCTTTCAGTTAACAGCTAAATGAGTCAACTATTGGCATGAAAATTTGTCTCAGATACAGTAATAAAATATAACAAAAGATACTTTTATGATAATAAGTCACTTTTATTTAATATAATTTTAGCTTTATTTAAACATACAGTAGACATGTTGAAAAGGATAGTTTTAGCTAGTAAATTGCTTACAACAACTTAATGCTAAATTAACCAAACTAAATGAATCAGTTGTGGTGTATAAAAATGTTTATTATTATTCTTTTTTCGTAAACAATGCAAGGCAAATTTAATAAAACATGGGTTGATTACTGAATAACACTTATAAATTAATAATAATAAAAAGCAAGAAAGAATTATTATCATTTACACTTTTTTCATAAAAGTTACTGTATAGCAGATTAGGTTAACCTTCTGGCTGTCTAAACTGGACAGGAACAGATGAACGGTTTGGGTATTGTGCATGGTACATCACTGAACGCCAGATCATCTGAAAATAGACAAAGCTTTGTAAAAACTGATCATGAAAAGAGGAAAGCATCACTACAAAAGGAACACATAGAATACAATTTAGGTGAAGGAGTTAAAGGATTTATACATTATTCCTTTGGATCTGTGCAATGAATGTGACTTTTTATTGACAGATTTTTGTTAACTGTTGTTAACAAAACAAGTAGCAACACTTACTCCATGTCTCCACACAATTCTCCATCCCACCAGCATTATTGGGCTCTCCAAAAGCCCAGCCATTATAGCTCCACTGCGTTCCATCCAACCAAACAAAATTATTTGTCTGTCAAAACAGGAAAGTGACTTACTAGAGGGACAGATATGGTGGAGAAATGAATAAACCATGTGAAAAAGTGAAACACTGCAAAACAAATGAACATACACCAATGATTCTCCGTCCTCCAAGCCATGCGCGAGTGCGCCCGCCATACCGGTCCATTAACTTGCCCATTCCGTCACGACCGTAGCTGCTTGTCACAGAGGCCAGGTGGCCATTGGGGCAGATAGATTGACATTGTAACTAAAGAGAAACATTTTATAAAATGAAAATAAAATAGAAATACTGTTTCATTATGTCATTAACCAGGATATGTTTTCAGCAATTACATTTTAAGTGTAATGAAATGCAAATTAACCAAATTGGACGAATCAGCTGTAGGATGTAAGAAATGTATTATTATTATCATTATTTTCTAAATCTTTAAAATGTGCGTGTGTGTATGGTTTTTATAAAAAAATCTACCGGACATGTACTGTATGAAATCAAACATAAATGTCGCTTGATGATTGTTTTCTTTGATTTACATTTCCTGCCAGAACCATATTACTCTAAATAAACAAATAAGCTTCATAATATGTTTTCTATCATTATAACAAGTGAAAATGACATTAATACCTCAGCAGTATAGGCATCAAGGTTTCTTGTGAAGTACTGGTAACATTTGCCCTGTAGGACAACTCCTCTACAAGTCCATCTCCCTGTGGACATATCACCACACTACAATCACCATTCCATATCGCAAAGCTTACATTACACGTGACGTCACACCAGCTTGATAAAGGCAGCTGTTCACAGTGATCCTGAACAATGCAGTATTCAGTGCATTTGGCCAAGTAGTACCAAACCTGTTTGCTACTTGTACACAGTGGTAAAACTATTATCATCTGAGGTGGCTTACCAATCTGTGTCCTTCGTCTTTCCCTCCCAAGTTCCATTTGTATTTCTGGATCTTCAACCGCTATATACTCAGCCTCAAGTGTAGGCTCCTCCTTTACTACATTTTCTTCTTTTTCATCTTCCACCTCTATATTAGTTTCAGACTCTAACTGTTGTACAGCTTCCTCCACAGGTATGATGTTTCTGTTCATCTGAATGGCAGTTATTTCTGGCTCAGGCTCTAGTTCTGTCTCTGGCATCTCTTCAGTCAGGTAATCTGCCTCTAGCATCGGTTCCTCCAACATCACTTGTGTCTCTTCTGGTACTCCGTGTTCCTCTGTTGTCTCTGGCCCCAGCAGCACTGAATCAGGCTCCAACATACGTGAATCTGCAACAGCTTCATCCTGCATCAGAGGACCTTGCTCTGCTTCTGTGTGCTCTACCCTTGGTTCTTTCTCAACCGCTGGCACCTTCACCACTTGATCAGGAAGCTTCTCATCCTGAACTGGACTGGCAGAAGCTAGTTGTGATCAGAAAGTAATAATGTTAAACAATCTAGAGATTAAATATAATTATTTACCACTTTTAAGATTTTATTTAACATTTAGCTAGTAAGATATTCTAAGCTTTCACCAATAATGACTACTTCAAAAAAGTAGAAGATATTTTGTTGAAGATGCATGATTAAAAATATGTAGTTTAAAGTGTTAGTATTCCCCCAAATTTTAAAAATAAGTGTGCACTATTGTATTATTCCACTCTCAAAAGAGCAAAGTTTTACATAAATAAGCAAATCATTAAACATTTATACCAGTGTTTACAGAAAGCTGCATTAGATGCATGGACAAGAGTATAACAAATGGAACACAATGTTAAATATTAAACTAACACAGTTAATATTAACTGTATGTTTGAACAATATGTAACTACAGCACAGATCATACCTGTTATGGTGAGAACCAGCAAGAATAATTTTCTCATCTTGTCAAAAATCCTCTAAGAGTTGCTTTCTGCAAAGAGATGATTTAATAATAAAACCAACATAAATAAATCAATTATTTAAGTTTTCACTTGATGTTTTTATTGACTATAATTGTAATTCATAAAAGCCGTCTTCATTTTAGAAGGGACTGGGCTACACTGAAAGAAAATGTTATTTAAATGAACTTAAAGGCAGAGTAAGTGATTTTTCAAAAACACTTTAGAAAACTGATTCGGGCCAAATCGCAAAACAAACTTGTAGCCAATCAGCAATAAGGGGCGTGTCTACGATGTGGAGGAGAGCGCGTTCAGTGCATGGTACGGACATTAGCCTAGCCGAGCCGAGCGACAGAAAGATAGAGATGGCGTTGCCTGGGTTGCGTGCGTATATGTGGGGCGCAGCTATCAAAATAGGGGCAAGACCCTTTTGGGGTAGGGGCGTGTTTGTTTTGGTGATTTCAAATATCAACATTGGCTACCAGAAATCACTTACTCTGCCTTTAAAGTTATGTTCAAAATATTATTTAATATCACTGAATCAACCAAAATACATTAGGTTACACCAACTACACTTAAGGGTTAAATCATTATGACCTGCAGATTATCAAGATTATAAAGAAAAGAAAAGATTTTATTTTTTCAGAAATATGCACAGTAGATGGTTATTCTCACCATGTGTTGATCTTGTTGGTCTGTATTGACTCTTCACCTGCGTTTCTCTCAGTGCTGTGAGATCCAATCAGTGCTTCTTATAAAAGACCTTTAGGACAGTTTTATGGCCTTTGTCTTATCTTCGCATGCTTTGACCGTTCTCTGTAGATCCTATCTTCTCGCTCACAATTGGTTGATTGTGTACGAAGCCTGCACTCTATTGGTCAAACTTCAGTCATTATCTTCAGCAAGTATAAAACTAATATAGGAAAACAAAGATAAAACCCAAAGCTAGGCAATTTAGAAATCACGGCCAGAACATGTTCAGGACAACGAGGACATAATTGTGCAGTCTCTCTGTATACTACTTGTCAAAAGTTTGAACACACAGGCTCTTTATTTATCAGTACTGTTACATTTTCCCATACTAATAACAGCGGAGTGGAGTGAGTGTGTGTGTGTGTGTGTGGGAGCATAGGCCTGTATGGCTAACATCATGTGTGGATTTGACAACAGCACAGCAACTGACACTGTGGACAGGTGTTATAAGCAATGGGTATATCAAAATGCCATGTCATACTGAGGAAAGGAATACTGTGGATAAAGCAGCTGTCAAAAGTTTCATACCCACAAGCCTCACAGTGAGTGTGAGGTCTCAAAAGTATTACGCATGAACAATGCATCCCTGTTCATATGAAACCTAAACCCATAGAAGAAAAGCTGAAAAACTACATATTATCTCTATCATGTTATCTTAATTGCAAAGGTAAATATTCTTCAGAATTATGACAAACATTATGCCAAACATTTCCTTGAAAGGGTAACTCATAAAACATAAAATAATTTGTATGACTTCAGCACTTTTAGTACAATTAATTTACCACTGCAAACTGTTTTTCATCCTTTTTTTTCCAGTCCGAATGTTTACCTGCATCTTAAGAACTTGGTCTGACCCTTTTTAGAGTTTGATTTAGTTGTTGCAACCCTTTGAATATACCTTGAATAAAAACAATACATTTTAAGCTATAGACAAAATATTTTACAGTGCACAGCAGAAAAGTAGCCTAATGTGATGTTATCCACCACTGTCAAAAAAGTAAATAGAACTATAGAAAAACGTGTGAAAGAAAGGTATATTGTTTTAAGGAAATGCATAATTATGTTTTACAGGAAAAAAGTGTTTACCACGCTTACCTACAAAAATACTATGATAAGAAACCATTTTATCTTATACAAACGTCGCTCATATGCAGATCGTCGACATGTCTCAGAGCATTTGCGCCGTGCTCGCTTAGCGTTCCGACGAGAGCACGCAAACCACCAAAAACGTACCAGGTACCACCAGTACTGTACCGGGTGGAAAACCCCCCAAAATTGAACCGTACCGAGCCGTACTATGCAGTGGAAAAGCGCCATTAAAGTACTTCCGAAGAGCAAGAAGCACATCAGACTCTTCTTCTTCCGTTTTTTGGCGTGTTACATCCTGTGTGCATATCGCCACCTACTTTTGCTGTTATGCAGTCATGGTTTATTTATTATCAATTTATTCCTTGTTATTCTTTTCCTGTTCTTACACACGTATATACACAAATATTCCTACTTAAATAATTATTCGATGCTCCATCCCATTCCTTCTCCCCAGGCTCCACCTGGCGCTGCGTGTTCCACATCAGACTCACCACGCACTCCTGCTTTTCTTCTTCTTCTTCTTCTTCTTCTTCTTTGACGTTTTATGGCGGGTGGCAAACCAGCTTTAGGTGCATTTACCGCCACCTACTAGGATGGAGTGTGGTGCAATGACGTCAAAGGATAACAAAAAAAAAAAAAAAAACATTTGTAGTGATTCTTTAAATCCTGTTTATTAACTCTGTATCTTTGAGATACTTAAATAATATGTGAAACATTTCTATAGTCACATCTTTATTTAACAATTTCTGAAGTGAGATCTGATTTATTTCTATATGAAGTGCTTCTGTAAGTTGTACTCTTTCGTTGTCATATCCTTTACATTTTATTAAAATATGTTCAACTGTTTCAGGAAGATCACATTTACCACAAAGTCCAGACTCATGTTTTCCTATTATAAATAATGATTGATTAAGTGCAGTGTGTCCAATTCTAAGGCGAGATATTATGCCGTCTTCCTTTCTATTCCCAAAAATTCTCCTCTCATTTCCAACTGTTTTTTGAATATTATATAAATGCCGTCCTTTATTCTCACCATCCCATTTACTTTGCCATATATCTTTTAATGCTTTTTTAATTAGCCCTTTTATTTCTAATTTACTCATTGGAACATTAAATTCTATGTCTGGATGTTTTAATGTTTTTTTCGCTATTTGATCCACCACTTCATTACCTTCTATCCCTATATGTGCAGGAATCCATACAAAAGAGATAATGGTTTTTGTTTGTATTCTGAACAAACTTTGTAAAATGTCTGATAAAATGTCTTGTCTAGTAGAAGATTTACGACTCGTTAAACTTGATAGTGCTGAATAGGAGTCTGAACATATGACTACTTCAGGTATATTAATGTCTTCAACCCACTGAAGAGCCAATAATATGGCAATCATTTCTGTTGTATAAACTGATAAGTGATTAGATGTTCTCTTTGCTATTCTATACCTGAACCTTGGAACATATATTGCTGCTGCTGTGCGTCCTGTTTCAGGATCTTTAGATCCATCTGTATATATATGAGTTACTGATATATATTTCTGATCTAAATATTTCTGTACTATTGAATCTTTAGATTCTTGTCTGTTTTTATCATTTATACTCACTAAAACCTGAAGGTCAACTGCAGGCATTGGGAATAACCATGGAGGTGTTACTGGCAACACAACAGTATTGCAAACATCACAATTACTTATTCCAATTTGATGTGCCTCATTATTTGCTTTCCATCCAAAACTATTTATATTTATGTATTCATGTTCCCAACAGTTTTCTAATACTTTTTTAACTGGATGTATTTCTGAATGCCCTTTTACAGTAGCCCAATATACCAGTTTCAGCTTCAACCTGCGAAGCTCCAGTGGCATCTCATTCATTTCAACCTGTAAAGCTGATACAGGAGAAGTTTTAAATGCTCCACAGCATAATCGCAATGTCTGGTTTTGTATTTTATTCACTTTATCTAACAGAGATGCTGAGGCAGTTCCATAAATCATACTCCCATAGTCTAATGTAGACCTTATAAGTGCACAGTATATTCTTTTTAGAGACTGTCTATCAGCTCCCCAATCTATTCCTGCCAAACACCTCAGTACATTTATTCCTCTTTTACATTTATCTACTATCTGTTGAATGTGTTTTGCAAATGTTATCTTTGAATCCAACCAAATACCTAAAAATCTAAATTCAGATACTTGCTCCAGTTTTTGCTCATACAATTTTAACTTAACAACTGGTGTTTTCTTCTTTTTTGAAAAACATATTATTTTAGTTTTTTCCACTGATATTCGAAATCCCCAATTACTTGCCCACATTTCAACTTCTTTAATAGCATTTTGCATGCTTTCTTCTACATACGACAAATTTCTACCTCTTTTCCATAAAGCACCATCGTCTGCATATAAAGACTTTCCAATCCCTGGCCCAACTGTATTAATCATATCATTTACCATTATGTTGAACAATATAGGGCTGCACACACTACCTTGTGGAGTACCATTTTCAATTGCATATTTCTTTGAGTACGAAGACCCAATCCTTACTTGAATGGTTCTATCAATTAAAAAATCCTTAATCCAATTATACATTCTACCATTAATATTCATTTTATTCAGTTTAATTAAAAGTCCTTCCTTCCACATCATATCGTACGCTTTCTCTATGTCTAAAAACACACCAACTAATACTTCTTTATTAATCTGAGATTTTCTTATATCTGAATCTAGGCTTAAAATTGCCGCACTCCTGCTCCAGCCGGACATATTATTTTGTAATATGAGTATTGGAGGGCTTTTATTTTGGTATTCAACATCAGACAGTTAAAAATCGCGTTCGCTGGAAGAGCACTGCATTCGGATCAGTTCTCTGACGGTTTTACCGTAATAGACCGTTTATGCGCGACCGTCGAAATAACGTGGCGGCTAGATTGACCGTGCTTTTCGACTTGGCAGCTGGCTTGACCGCAGTGACAAAACGAAGATGAGCACAGCACACATACTAACCTTCCCCGCTCTGCTCATGCTGCTCTACAGTAAGTATATTGATGATGCTTGGATTTCTCATTATCTGACTCTTTAGTTCGTTGTCTGTGTTCTGGACATTTTAAAAGAAAGAAATTTCTTACCATGGGAACTCTTGAGGGGTGAGTTGGAAAATACATTTAATAACTTTCATTAATAATTTGTATATTTAGGCCTATTTGTTAAAAATTATACTTATTTTTATTATTTTATTTTATTTCTACTCGATTAAATGATTTTTAAAGTGTTAAAGTGCCTTGTAATTAGAATTGGCTATAACACTGAGAAAATGGCATAAGGTTTAAAAGTTATTACAAATAATTATAAAAAATAATTTGTTTTTATAGTTTTTAAAAATTGAATTAAATGTTTTTTTAATTTTTTAAAATTTTATTTGTCTATCGACATCAGCTTTGTGAATAGATTTGGTTCAAATTCAAAACTGTTTGATTTGTGTGTGTGTGTGTGTGCTTTTTCAAAGAGAGCTGGATGCTTTGAGGCTCTGGATTGGGTGGGTGGGGGTCTTGTAAAACACTGTTTACACAAACTTCTCAAACAGCATTTGAACACATGAGATCCTGAGGGTGATAAAATGTCTGTGAAGAAGTTGTCCAGATCTGAACTTCACTCTGATGTGGCAGGGACCCTTTCATGTCACTGATGCCCCTTGACTGAATCCTTGTGTATTGGTCATTATCATGGAGATTATGGTCACCCAGCATACCATGATAAATTCTTTATCCCGTCTAGTCTAGAGATCCAAATATCTGTTAACCACATGAAGTTTTGCAGCTTATATAAAATGGCTTGAATGTATATTAAAATAATGAATATAGCTAAAATGTTGACTTTGACTAAATTGATTGGTTTTATTCTGATAACTTTCATGTTGCAGGCCACTAAGTGATAGCTAGGGTTGTTAAATACCTTGTGGGGTGGGCTGTGATTGTAACCCCAGTCCTCTTCCAGCTGAAGACGTTTTAAGTTACAGCAGCATAGTAGGTCTTTGTATCTCTGGGTAAAAAGACCCTATCCAGCCTTTCTCTCTCTAGTCTCATGAAAGTCAGTTCTTTTCTACTGTTAACACATCCAGTGGACTATAGAAAATGACTTACACAGTCAAAGGAGAGTGTTTTCCCTCACTTTCCCCAGAAGTGCATGTTTTTCCGTGTGTGAGGAGGTTATCAGGCTTGGTTTGGACTGCCACCCCCCACTAAACACAGCCAGACTGTGTCAGAACATCCATCCATTACTTAAATTCCTACACATCCCTGTTCCTGGCACCACCAGAGCGGGGAGTGAGTGTTAGTGAGGTTTCACATTTGAGGAGAAACTCAAATCTGTTCATTCTGAAATCTGTTTACTGTATTCTTCCTATTTACCTAAATATTATATAATTTAAGGGTCATAATATATAGGAAAAAAATCTAACCCACTCTTGATGTCAGTGTCATTCATACAAATATTCTGTGTTAAATTGAGGCTATGTGCCAGGAATTCAGTTTGTCCTGAACAAAAACTCTATGGGGCAAACATATAACGATCCCCCCATAGTCTTTCATTGAAAGTTGAATTTTTGTCTGCTATTTTTTTTGTGGTGTGTTACAACATTCATGTGTTAATTTGTATATTCCCTCTCCTCCAGTTCCTAGTTCAGATCCTGTTACTGTGACGACAAGCAAAGCCAAAGTGGAGGTACATGAAAACACAAGTAAGATCATTAGTCTTCAGATAATCAGCTTGACATATTTAGATATATAAAAGCTTTCAGACCATATTGATTTGACTCTTCTGTCTGTTCTTTGTAAAAGATGCTGTCCTGTCCTGTGAATTCAAGACAGAGAAAGAAACAAACCCACGTGTTGAATGGAAGAAGAGGCAAAGATGTTTCGTATGTTTATTTTGATGGAGATTTTACAGGTACTGTAGGTTGTTGTTTTGCCCACTTTCATATTAATTGCAACCATGTCCCTAAACATGTCCCCCATCTCTCTCAGTTGCATATTGCTTTAGATATTTTATCATTTTAAAGGGGAAGCGTGTCATTAAAAGGACTTTTGGCAGTAAATTACATTCTATTTGGTGTGTCACATTAGTGAAGAGCAGGCAAAAGCACGCACATCGATCTCAACTGGGTGCTCGACATCGCGATCCAAAAAGTCCGGTAGCACAGCACTTTGCAGATTCAAGACACTCAGTTTCCACTCTTCAGTACATAGGCATTGAGGTAGTGAAGTGTCCGCGTCGCGGAGGTGATATCAACCAATTGCTTTTACAGCGTGAAGCCTTTTGGATTTATACATTAGACACGTTGGCCCCTGGATTAAACGATATCTTTGATATTCGTCCATTTCTTTAAACACAAGATATCTATTTACATATAATAAACGCTTTGTGGTTATTGATTTGTATTTATGTACCTAGGCAGGCATCAATTAATGTTATTAAATAATATATTGAGAATTATATTAGTGTATTTTGCATAGCTTTATATGTTTTTGATTTATTTCTAT